AATAAAAAAATTTCCATAATATTATATTACTTATATCATGTGATTAGCCATCAAAATTTCATGTACCTAAAGTGAACTGAAAGATTTCAAAAAAAAAGAAAGGTTGCATTGTACAACTATTTGTTATTCTTTTTCTCTAGGAATAAGCTTTTATTGATAACAAAATAAATAATCTTATTCTGGCAAATGTTAAAGGGCTTTAAAAACAGTATTATCATTTTGGTTGTTTTGCATTCTTATAAATAAACAGTCAAAAATATATGATTTCATTAATCTGCCATATAGTTGCATTATTAAAATACTAGTAGTTAGTCAATTTTATTATTCTTTTTATTGAGGCAAGTGAACAATGTCATTTAAGTTGAAAGGGATATGTCAAACCAAGAGATGAAAGAAGTGGATGAGAATAAGCTGAAATTCTTAAAGCTTTAATGGTATCATATTCTAGGATTGCATTTTTAAAAGTGATAAAAGTCTAGTTCTGAAAAATTCTAACTTATTATAAGTTATAAAAGGATCTGGAAGAAATACTGTCAAAGGCGGCCAAAAAAGGAAATGGCACAAAATGAACTTAGACAATTAATAATATAAGAGACAAGTGCTATTTAAGTTATAAGAAAGAAATCTTTTGTTCAGTAGATTCAGATAAACTTTAAGGTTCCATTTTTAGTAACTATTTATGAGTGTACACAAACTAATAAAACTAGATTTCTTAAGTACACATAAATTTAATTGTAAAAATCATATTGTAATATTTTACAGTAATATACACTTTATTTTTTTTTATTTTATTGTTCAAAAATTGGCTCTATATATTTCATTAAAACATAACATTTAAAAATTCCAAAAAAGTTGTTTTTGAAGGCTAACCTTAACTTTTTAAAGAATGCACATAATGCAGAATGAACTTTTAGCTGAAACTTCCTCAAAGATAATCAAAATATAAAATGTTGTAAATCATTTAAAATAATTCAATTTAGGCCGATATTGCACACCCAATAGGATATGTAACAGGATGTTACATAGGACCCGCCTACTACTAAGATATGTTACTGGTAGAAATTTCACTTTCATATGAAACCTTACCTTAGATTTGCTTAAATTCTATTGGTTAATTAACTAAAAAGAAAAAAAATCATAACAATGTAACATAAAATTTTCTTTTATAGTAGGATCTTTAAAGAGTTTTATATGTAAACCTTACCTTAAGCCACAGGGTGAATTATCTTAATAGTAGGCAGGATTCTTGTTACATATACAGTTAAACTTCTATATACTGATATTGCTGTTTTGGGAAAAAGCATTGGTATATCAAATTATCGGTTTATAAAAAAATTTTATATGTCGATATTATTATAAATAACATAATTATTATCGGTATAAAATATTTTAATATACAGTCAGACCTCTATATAATCACACTCCATATAGTCACATTATATAAAATTCTTCTATATAATCACACCTTTGGGAAATACCAATATATATAATTATGGATTTTATTTTTTATCGCACTTGCGTTATGTCGCACCCCTATAATATGTTACATATAAAAGTCAAAAATGACATTCTAAATCCTTTTTGATATATTAAGAAAATTTGTAGAGCGGTCAAAAATACGTATAGTATAAGGTTTTTTATAGTACATAGTAAGTGCATAAGGTCTTACGCACGGATTCTTTAAAAAATGAGAAATCTTAACAAAGTCATGTGATCAAAATGATCGACATAATTAATATATAAAAATTACCAAAAAAGGGAGATGTGACATATCGCAGGTGCGAAAAAAACATATTCCTATAATTATTATATAAAAAAACCTTTGTATAATCACATTATAGTAAAAGCCTCTATATAGTTACCGATTTTTGCGAAACTAATTAGGTGACTATACAGAGGTTTGACTGTATATAAAAATGCAATTTTATTCGATTCTACATTTATAAAATTCAAAGAATTTATTAACAAAATTATATCAATTATATCAATTATGTATTACATTAAGGATAAGTAAAATTGTATCAATTATATTATGTAGTAAATTTTGCCGATCAGTCATGTAAATTATCACATTTTTGATTAATGGTAAAATTCAATTAGGATGTACCTCAAGTAAAGGATCAGAAAAGATTCGATTAAAATCAAAACTATTAAAAATTGATAAGAATTGATTTTAAATCGAATATTGAATAAAAATCGAATTTTGCAGTAAGACCCGCTTACTTATAATAAAGGTCACTGTAGAAAATTAGCTCTTTACTAATAGTTCTTACCTTACTTTTTCTTAAATTCTATTGGTTAATTAGCTAAAAAGGAAAAAAATCATAACAATGTAACATATACATGCTGCCCAAATTATTTTGGGATGCCATAATAATAATTTGGGATGCCATAATTCATTCGGTTTATATATAATTTACTATGTAAAGTGCCAAAATAATTTGGGATGCCATAATTGAATTTGGGATTTTACTTATAATTACGGCAGTCCAAAATAATTTGGGTGGCATGTATAATGTAACATAAAATTTCCTTTTATAGTAAGATATGCAAAGAATTTTATATATGATTTTTACCTTAAGCCTGGAAGTGATCTATCTTATAAGTAAGCAGGATTCTGGCGCAGTATCGTTAATTAATATAAGGGCAGATCCTTTAATTTTAGTCAAATTCATAATTTCGGCTGTGAATCACGTGACAGAATACAAACTTCCTAAAAAGGAAATTTTACCTTTGAATAGAATTTCAAATTGCTATGGTGGCTGTCACCTATAAACCACACTAATATTAAGTGACTTCAAATTTTTATAAATTGTAAATTGAATAGTAAAAAGAAAAAACTAAACCGATAAAATGATATAGAAACATGTACTGAACATTTCTATCGGATTATTTTATAGAATTTAATAAGAATTTTAATTAATATTATGGGTTAAAGTTGGATAATTTTAATAAGTAGCAATAATAAAAATATAAAATTTTGGACTAATTTTCATGTAATTTTTATGGATTTTACAAAAATTCCATGGAAATCCACAAGAATTCCATGTAATATGGCAAAAAAAAAATTTTGCCGCTCACACGGCAATTAATATTTTGACAAAGTACTTTAAAACATAAGTTACACAATATAAATAAATAAATTTCAAAATTTTGGACTATTGTTATTTATAGGCGACAGCCACCATATCACACAAGGTTGTATAAGTTTTCAAAAAAGGAAATTTATTCATTGATTACAGTTATTTTTAATTACGTGATATGTGTTTAATTTCCCTATTATTATAAATAATCTTTCAAGTATAAAAAAAATCAGTATTTGCAAAATGATTAATCATGATTAATCGATTTTAAAATCGATTCTAATAATGGAAATTGATTCCAATCTCTACTTCAAGTATACAATATTATCCTGTTTCCCCATTTTCTTAAATATGATTGGCTCAAAATTGAGCCACAAATTTGTGTAACTTTATCTTAGAAAATAATTTTTCATTTCGTGAAAAAATAGGAATGAAAGAAAGCAAGAAGCCAAGAACACATAAAGTCAAAAAGAAAAAACTTTCAAATATTTTTAACATATGATATCTATATTTCAGTTTATAATAATTTTATTTGTACTTTATTAATTTTAATAAATAAACATAAGACTCATATACACATGGTGATTAATTTTATTTTTAAATTACGTGACAAAATATCTGCATGAAATATAACAAAAATTAAGAATAACTTTTTCATGAATATTCAAAATAACTTGATGAAAATTAATATTTAAATAGTTTCTCATACCTGTAAAATAGCCTTTGAAAACGCGTTTGCTTTGGTTAAGTTGTTGTAACTATATAATAAAGTTAATAAAGTTAAAAAACAGGCGTACTACAGTTTTTTAAGTTAACTATCAAGTATATATTTAAATAGTTTAATAAAAATTAATAAAAATTACGGAAGAAAGGAGAAAGTGAGAGAAAATGTATATTATCGTTATGATAAATAAATAAATTGCACCCCAGTTTTGTGGCGTAGTTTCTTTTGATCGGTAAGTTCCAAAACATGTTTCGTTTTCAATACTTCTAAATTTTAATTATTTTTGTTAATTATTTTTTTTTTTTTGTAGGTATAACTTCTCAAATTATAATCAGTAAATTTCAAAATAGGTTGAAACTTTTTTTTTAACTTTGAAAAACTAACCATTTCTTCTTTTGCTATTTTGTAGGCCTCATCTTCAATGTTAAGTTTGCTCTTTAGATAAATTTTAAGTTGAAAATTATAGATGTATTGATGGTAATTTATGATTTCATCTTCATCCGTTAATAATTATTGGCAACCTAAAGTACATTTCATTACAGAAGAAGGATTACATAATAAAAATAATATGGAATACAATTTTATGTAATTATTATGACAGGTTTATTTTATTAATATAACAGATAATATCTATTATAATACTAATAATAATATATATGTTATAAATATAAAACATTGATGTTGTAATTATGTATAAACTATGTCATAATCATATAAAATATATTGTAAAATTCATGTTATAATACATATACAGTATGATATAATGAAATGATGTTTTAATATAATAGCAGGATGTTAACGCTATCACGTGTAAGTGCATAACTCCCAATCTTGGGCCAGTTCGTACGTTAATATCGTACAACGTTAAGGACGTATATCCGTTTTGGCTGGAATTATGATTTTTTGCCGGAATTACAAATTCGTGAAATCATGAATTAATTTAGGGCAGAATTATGAATTCGGCTGAAATCATGAATTGATTTCGGCAGAATTTTGGATTTCGGTTTTGAAATTTCGGATTTTTGCCAATCAATTTCGGGGTCTTCTTATTTTATTTAATTAAATAAAAGTCCGGTGTTTTTTAATAAATTAAAAGTCCGGTGTTTTTTAATAAATTAAAAAAAAAATCTGTTTCTTTTTAATTAATAAAAAAAATGAATTTAATATTCAGAGTTTTCTTAGGGAATTGCTAAACGTCGCCATTTAGAATTTTATTATATTTAAAAATTTCTGATAATTATTTTATTTATTATAATTTTATTTGGAAATCTACAGTTAAAGGTAATTATTTATTTACAAAAGCTAAAATACTATTTCCGATTGGTACAATTTTTTTTCAATTGCTGTGCCCAAATACATTTCAATTGTATATGACGTAAATAGAAGATTACTACGGATATTTCAAATTTTCAAAGATGAATTATCTGTTATGCACATTATAATTTTATTGCTTTTTAATCTCAATCATATCAATTATGCTCGATTTTTACATAAGCCACAGATTTCACTCAAATTTTGTAAAATTGATAATAAAAGAACTAATCGTATATATTATAATTTGTATGTTCTAAATACATTAAAATATTTTTTTCGATGGATATGAATTATAATACAAACGAGTTTATCATGTTTTATTATATTAAAGAATTATTGGTAAAATTAGGTTGAACTAATTAATTAGTCAAAAAGATCATCATCATCCAATTCATGAAAAGTTTGTGTACGTTGACTTTGTTGCGAAGTCACTGAAGGTGAGCTTCGTTGTTCCAATATCGATAATTTCGTGGTATCAGTCATTATTCTTTTTGATGGTGAATCAAATATACTATTAATTCTTCTTTTTACTCCTGCAGACGCTTTTGAAACTGATTTAATTTGATTGTATGTTTCGGGTGTAACAGCTCTAGGATTATCTCCAGTGAATTCATTGTCAATTTCCATTTGTTCTTCACGATCTTGAGTTTGACTTCCACGGCCGCGACCTCGGCCTCTGCCACGGCCACGACCACGACCACGTGTAGTTTTACTAGTTGGTACATAATCTTCGTCTTCAAAATCTTTTTCTTCATCGCACGCACGTCCTTGATCGCGTGTTGAACTTTTGGCTGATATTCTTGTAGTCGATCCGTTATTATCTTCAGATTCATGGTCTCCATCATTAACTGCAGCTACTTGACCACGTCTACGACCTGGACCACTACTTTTGACTGATGAAGTTCTTGCAGGTAATTCATTATCATCTTGTTCCAAGTCGATGATTGCAGCTACTCGTCCACGCCCACGCCCCTGATCGCGCGTTCGAGTAGTGCGGTTTTTAGTTGATGGTGCAGGGGCTTCCAATTCATTATCAAATTCATCATTAAATTCTTGTTCCTCATCGATAACTATCATGCGATCACGCGCTCGAGAATTCCTACTTCTTGTTGTAACACTACTTTTCGGCAGATCAAAATGAACGTCCTCAACGTATTCATCTTGTTCATCAATAGTTACCTGCTGACTTCCTCTAGAAGTACTAAATTTGTTTTGCGAGTTAACTCTTGTTCCACTATCTAAATCCATATCTTCATCCTCATCCAATTCTTCAACTGCAGTGGATCTAGAACCACGACCTCTGCCTCTGCCGCGCCCACGACCGCGCCCACGACCACGACCACGACCGTGACTTGTAGTTGATACAGCCGCCACTGATGTAATGCTTTGCTCTGTTCTCGACTTTTCTAAATAATGTTCAGGATCAAATTGTGTAGACCATTCTTGGTTAAGCCTATCTTTTTCCAATGTTATCACATTCTTGATTTCTGATTCTCCAGGTAACGAATGTTCTGGTATTCCATGATTTATTAAATGATTTTTCATATGTTCTCTAGTCGATTCAAAAAAATCTCTAACGGCATTTTCATCATTCTTATTGACATAGAGATCGATAGAGTTTAAAATTCCATTTTCTGGAAAAAAATGAGATGGCTTCTCTTTTAACGTTTTTGCAAGTTGTCCAATGACAAAATATGTAGCGTTTTTCTGTGATATCTCTTCATCCCCAAAGTCTAACGGGGCGACAAATCGTTGATTTTGAGATCTTTCAGCTTCTTTATAATGGTAAGTCACGATTTTTTGACCATTGCTATCACTATTTGCAATACGGTTTTTAAATTCTTGTTCAAATAAACTAGTTCGTATACGGTTATATTCTCTACTCATTTCTACATTTAATCTGATTAAAGGCAGTGGAGGATTTTCGCCATCTGGGTTATTTTCATTCCATAGTTCTTGTGCACGCACAATCATTTCGTTAACCTTTGATCTCAAATATGTCTCCAACGCTTTATCGTCACCCGGAGAAATATCAGTTTCTCTTTTTATATCAATTGAATCAATTACCATTGGCCTAACTGTACTTAAAAGGATCGGTTTTATTTCATATTTTTTCCCTTTGCGTGGTTTATCATATATTTCCAAAATGCCCACATATTTTGTGATAGCTTCTCCGTCACATAAACTTGTAGCCACTGGAGAACCTGGCTGAATAACATCAAAATTTCTTTGTGAATTGGTTTCAGGAAGTATTCTGCAATCATGTTCGTGTCCCCAGAAAACAATATCCAGAAATTCTGGAAGCATATTTTCTGGTATATAATTTTTAGGACTATGAGGTACTCGATTTTGATGAATTACCATTAAATTGACATAATCGTCGATGTTATCAGGTTTACACCATGTTACCTGATTATTATTAAAGGCTCGATGTAACCTTTCATCTCTTACATTACCAATTCCGAATATATTTAGTTTCGTTGATCCCTTTTCAATAGTTATTGGGTAAACCTCAATGTCATCCACCTTATTGATTTTGCCAAAATAATTAATCAAGTCTGATGATGAGAGTATATCTAATGGACCAACACGTTTAGCTCCAGTTGGATCATCGTGATTACCATGTATAGAAAACACGGGTAAAGCGGTATTGCTATTAGGATTAGAATAATTAACCCGTCTTCCAAAATTTTTATATTGATCACTGGAGATTTTGAAATTAATTTTTTTGTCACCAACCGTAAACTCGTGAAGCAATTTAATTGCTTCATTTAAAGTATAAAGTGACGGTTTATTTTCATGAAATAGATCACCACCTAATAATACCATATCCACTTTATGGTTCTTTGCATGTCGCAGTATTTCTCTGAAAGTGTTGAAGCTATCGGTTCCGCGTGTTGGATCTTGCTCCTGATACCCCAGGTGTATATCAGTCGCGATCATTATTGATAGTGAATCTTTTGAAGGATCCATTTCATAAAGTATAATTATAATTATAAAATAGATAAAAACGAAAAGCTATCTCGTAAATATTTTTCATGAAGAAAAATTATTATATGTGAGTCAGAGCGCAGCCAGAACTATCTAAAATCAGGTGACGCTGCTACACATTTTTATAAAGATAAATGATTGGTTGCACGTGATCAAATTTCTTTACCAGACGCAATAATAAAAGAATATGTCACAGAGTTTATATTTAAAGGATGATTTATTATCAAAATTCTTTATTTATGGTAGTAATGGTTTGAAATTCGCTCCTCCTTAAGCTCTTTTACTTCAAAACTTATGTTTATATTTATTTGATTCATTATAGTAAATTTGATACAGTTGCAAAAAATATGGACATAGTGACAAGCTCAATTTCTAATCTTATAATCTATACTGAATCATGAAAAGCTAATATATTAAATTAGCTTTGGATGGTATAGTGTTAAAAACTTGTTCGCCCTTTTATTATTTGTTGACCCTAAAAAGTTTAATTAATTAGAAATCAATTAAATTCTCGAAACGTTTGTATATATACTTTAGTTAGACCATTACTTACTAATTCTTGTAACGTAGCAAGTCCGTGTCTTCCCCATTCAACGCCTGTACTTGTTGCTTTTTCTTGTGCCATTCCCAAGGTCGAATCAATTTCTTTTTGATGAAATGTAAGTGTTGGATCGATGTAATTATCGTATAAATAAGCTGCACCCCGTGTTTGTGGGAGAATTAACCACAATATAAAAAGAATTTTCATCTCATAATAAAATGGGAACCTAAGTTTAAAAATCATTAATAAATAAAGTTCAAAATGCGAGCAAAAAAATCTTTCAATCTTACCAGAATATTAAACTATCCGCAATTCCTTCGCCAAGAGTGAAAAAAGCCATTACAATCCAATATATTAGCCATGGTAAAATAATTTTTGTGTCATTAGCTTTAATAGCCTTAAAGGAGGCGTAAGCTGGATATAAAAAACCGGCTAAATTACTAAAAGATAAAGTTAATGATTAAGCAATAAAAATAAAAATAAAGACAAGACGGGTCTCAATTACCAGACTATTTTATATAGCAAATATCCAAACATCCGGAAAAATAAGCAGAAAGGCAAGATAAAAATTCAATGCAACGTAACGATAAACGAAATAAAAAAATTATAAAGTGATGCTGCTGGATATTATTTAAAAAAAAAGTTAACAAAGAGAGAGTTTAAAAAAGTTAAAGTTAAAAAATAGATGCAGTATTTGTAATTACGCGTTGTATAGAGACATATAGGGATTAGGGACAATATAACCTTTTTAGATAGTGCCGCCCGGGGCTTTATTATCATAGTTTTAGACGCTGGCTGACATTATCGTAGTTTCGACAAAAGTCGCCGATCATCCATTTTTCGGGATCTGGTCATCTGGGTCAAGGGTCATCATTCATTCTGATCATATGATAAACATTGCCTTTACGGTGTAACAAACAAGAAAGTCATTAAAAGAGATCTCCGGACTCCGATATTTACAATGCCAACAACATGTATTAGGATTATCATTCGTGTCAATTTCTGATTTACTTCTCTAGAACAAAAACACCGTAAAAATTTACCTTAATTATAATTTATAGCCGAGAATGTCTTCAGACGAAGAAGTTGTCACTAGGCGACAGGTCGCAAAAATCAAGCCGCAGTCGTTTTTACCAAAACCTCGACGCGTAGTAACAAATGATTCACCCTTGACTAGTACATCCACATCCGTAACACAAAGTCCGAGTGGAGCCGTCAACCTACCGAAACTTCGTCCAAAGGTTTATTATGATGACGAAGACGATACATTTTTTACGCGAAAGACTACTTTTTCACGAAAAATGAACGCTAAAAAATCACGTATATATTGACAAATTGATAAATCATTGAATTTCGCCGATAAATCAATTAACTTAATTTATTGCGAATAGGAAAGTCGGAAATTTTAAGGACACTTGAAGATAACCCTAAACTTCCTACAAATAGTATTGAGGAAGAGAGACCTAAACAAAAGGCAAAATCAAAGGTTAAAGGAAAGGGGAAGTCATCATTATTAGATTGGACAACTTCAGATGAACCGATTACGTTGGTCGATGAAGAAGACGATCATATTCATTTTTCGTAAGTTCCTTAATTCATTATAAATCAAATAGCAAATTTCACTTGTTAAAATTATATGCTTCAGAGACCTATCAGATGATTTGGAAGATCGAAAGAAACCCATTAAAAATCCAGACAAGAATAGAAGAATTGACGATAAGGAAGATTCTTTAACTCCACCACCAGAGATAAACAGTTATTTACTCCAATCAACGCTTGCTCCATTACAGTAAGAAAATATTCTTTATGATTAATTGATTCTTTTCAAATCTAATGCAAACAACTTTTACAGTGCAACACTCGCACAGTATTCAGGATCATTGCGTTCTGATGGTAATGGATTGGGCTCACCAATTGTATCTTCCGCCTTACAGGATGATATAGAGTTGGAACCTGAACTTTTAGCTATTCAACAATCAGTCAGACAGGAAAAGAATTCGAATCAATCCATAAACACTAAAGTTGAAATCTTGGTGAGTCCTAAACGTCATCCAGGCGTGTTAATAACTGACGAAAATGCTAATTATGACGCTCCTATAAAGTTCATTATAATGGCGGTAAGTACAGTGATGCAACTTGAGTCTTTTGTTTTTTCATTCGTAAATACTGTAACATTTATATTTATATTGCTGTATTTATAGGAAGATACTTTTGAGTCATTAATCACGAGTCTATGTTCCAAAAAAGGAATTAATAAGCAAGATTTAGTACTGACATACAAGAATGTTAGGGTTTTTCCTCGTGGAACACCATCAAGTTTAGGCATGTCCGGACTTGTTCATATGGGTAAATGTTTATGGTACATCTATTTTAGTTATAATTTTGCTTTGATTAAATATTTTCGCTTTTTTTTAGAATCCTATACGAAAGAAACGTATTTGTATTTTAAAGAACAACAGGAACTAGAGAGGAAACGATTGTTCGAGCAATTGGAAGAAGATTCTAGTTCTGGTCAAGGAATTGATATTGAAACAAATGAAACAAATGAAACAAATGATAATGAAATAGAAATGAACGAAGATAAATATCTTTGTCTTAAGTTTCAATGCCAAGACGAAACTATTGAAAAGCTTAAAATCAAAAAAGTAAGTCTTGTCTTAAACCCGTTACAGTACAGTTACTTCAATTAAGTTAAACACTTTCCTTTTTTATAGTCACTTACAATTCAAGAGGTAATTGACCGCTATCGAATAATAAAAGGGGTATCAAAAAGTAGAGAGATTAATTTAATATTTGAAGATGAGCGTTTGTCACCTCATGAAAAATTAATAAATACAGATTTGGAGGACGGTGACATACTGTCTGTCAAAATAATTTAAGATTTTTACAGCGAATTATGTAGTTGTTTGAATTTTACATCTTAATAAATTTTATTAGTAAAAAATTGGTTTAAACGAATCAGCTTGAAAATTAACTTTATACACTGAAACCACCAGTCCTCGCACCCGCTTCCTGTCCTTTTTTAGTTAAGGCTTCACCAATTTTTGTTGTAACATCAATATATTTAGAAAAGCATCTATCAATACAGACAGATTCGCCTTTATTTAATTCACCTTCAATATATTTTGGAGGAATACATTTTTTAAAACAAGAATCCACAATTCTAAACGATAATTAAAAAAAAAATCATTAAAGTAATAAATTTATTTTTTTTTATATTTTATAAAAATACCTATTAAATGTTTCAGTTACAGCTTCATATTCTTGTTCTAGTATAGCAACATTTTGCTGATTTATTGTCTGTTGTGAAGAACCACCGCCTCCAAATGGAAGAAAAGACATCTTTAATTATATATTTGTTTCGTTATCAACAAACTAAATACAAATTTTTTGAGGTGACATTTGATTGGGAGATGATAATTTGGATAAATTTTGCTTAACTATATTAAGGTTTATAAAACAGGATAGTGATTTTTAGTCTTGACGCTCTTTGTATAACTCCCTTTTTTTACTTTATGAGTATTATGAATAAACCACTGAAACCGTCAATACCTAAACGTAAAAATTCATTAAAAAAACAATGGGATAAAACTACCAAAGTAGTTAATGTAAAACAAAAAATTCACTCCAATGTATCAGATAAATATACCGAATTACAAATAGCTACATTTACAAAATGGGTTAATATACAATTACGTACCATAGAAGAAGTGATAGATGAATCTGCGTACTTTTCTCCCACAACAACTACTTTTCCTTTTAATAAGGCGAAAAAAAAGATCCCAGAAATTAATGCAATAGATAAAGATTTTCAAGATGGTAAAAAATTAATAGAATTGCTCGAATTATTCTATGAAAATGATACTGAAGAATTACCAAAACCAGAACGTGGTAATAGTCGAGTTCATTATATACAAAATGTTAATAAGGTTTTAGAGTTTTTACAAAAAAAATTAGATGATAATGGGTTGACCGCATTAAAAGCTATTGGGCCCGTTGATATTGTTGATGGTAATGTTAAATTAACTTTAGGATTAATTTGGTTAATGATATCAAAATTTCATCAAATGATAAGTAACGTTTTTGAAGTAACTGAAGAAGAATTAAATCAAGTTGAAGAAAGATTTAAAAGAAGTGAAATAGTTACACATATTGAAGATAAAAATGGTAATAAAATCGAAATTTCTCCTAAAAGTTTTATAAATACTACTTTTGAAGAGTTTCAATCTAAATTTAGAAGTCATTTTATTGAAAGTTCGAGTAGTGATAATAACAGTATACTTAATTCTCCTACTATACTTGAGGAAGAACCTGAAGAATTAATCTACGAAGATAAATCAATTGAAAATCAATCAACTGAGAATGAATCAACCGAGTGTAAATTAACTAAGGAACAGTCAAGTGATAATCAGTTAACTAAGAATAAATCAACTGAGAATAATACTATTAAACCGACTCTCCGAAATAATAGTGTACGTAATCGTATTTTATCAAATAGTAGTAATAGATTATCATTACCTCCAAATTATAATGATAGTAATGGTGAAGGAAAGAGGAATTTTAATCCTAATTCACCCGCTAGATTTAGAACATTACGTTTAAAGTCATCATCATCATCACCAGCAAATTCATCATCTGGATTATTATTTTGGATCAACATGCAATTAATTGATTATGCCTCAATATTACCTATAACTTGTTATCCTATTGAAGATTTTATTGGAATGAATGATGGAATTATATTAGCAGCTTTAATTCATCATTTAAATATGGAATGGATTGATGATTTTGATTTATTAATTAATGATAAAGAAGGAGAAAGTGAAAATGATAAAGAGATTAGAATAAAAGAAAGATTAACAATGTGTTTTAATATAATAAATGATAGATTAAATATTACACAATCAAAAGCATTAACTTCAATGTTAATTGAAAAAGATTATAGTGATAAAGAAAGATTAAAAAGAACCGGATTGGCTTGGAGTGTTTATATAAGTGAAATATTTTTATCTATAACTAATGTAATGAATAAGAGAAAAGAAATAAGACGACAAAGCAAATTAATTTTACTTAATGAAAATGAGGAAACTACTGAATTTAAAGAAACAGAAGAAACTTCATCTAGTAAGATTGAAGATAGTACAAAATTAAGAGGATGTCTTTCTTCTTTTAAGAATAGTAATAGCACACCCCCATCAAAGAGAAATTCAATGGCTACATCAAATTTACCTCCCTTACCTCCTTGGACTCCTAAAGTATCATTGATTTCAGCTGTGTGGGATTGGACACTAAGTTGGATGACTAATGATAATGATAGTGATAATTATGATAGTGATGATTATGACAAAAATGGTAAATTAAAAGAAAAGGAAATGAGGACAATCAGTAAGGGAAGTTTAGCAAGTAAATCTAGACAAAATAATTGGGATATCACAAACATCAATGAATGGAAAAATAATGAAAATAAACCCGATGATGATGGTCCTCTTCAATTACTAGCAAACACTCATCAACCTGCTCTGTATATGTATTGGAATTAAAATATTTTGTTTAACTAATTGTATGTTTATATTATATATTTCTTTTTATTTATTTAATTATATTAATCCCTTATGTATGACATGTGACTTGTATTACAAAATTATTATAATTCGATTAATATATTATGATTAAATCTAAAATTTCAAATTGCGAGAGAAAAATGTTCTTAGCATCAACCCATTAAGATCATAAAAAAAAAGCAATCCTTTATTTACAATCCGACTTCATTTATAATTATAATTATCATATATTATATTGCAATTCGTTCTTTTTTTTTTTTTTTGAAAGTCACCACACGAAACGCGAAATACGTTTACAGATGTTACACGATCAGTAATCGCGAAAAATCGACAATTTTGGTCACGTGGGGGTGAACTTTGATGCTCCTAATCTCTCAAATGCATATCTGACTTGTAAGCAATGCCTTTCTCTCATCATAGTCATTCAGGTCAATTTTGCCAACATGCGACAGGAATGCTGGAGGAAATTATTCAGGAAGCTATTAAAAAGAAATTTATAGTATATGGGCTATCCGAACATTGTCCGAGATATAGGATAGAAGATTTGTATCCCGAAGAGGTAAAACATAAATACAAATGAATTATAAAAGCATTTATGAACTTTTCTCTCTATTTTAGTCTCACCTCCAACCATTGGATTTATCCAAAACATTTGAAGAATTTGTAAAGGAGGCACGTAGATTACAAGAAAAATACAAGTCTCAAATCACTCTTTTAGTTGGATTAGAATCCGAAACAATCACCAGTTCTTCAACTTCTGAAGCTCTTGACTTGATAGAGAAATATTCTCTTGATTATGTTGTTGGATCCGTTCATCATGTACACGAGACTCCGATTGATTTTGACTTAGAAATGTTTGAAATTGCACTTTCAAAGTCATCATCAAATAAACAACGCATTGAAAATAATCCAGAAGAAAATTTATTCGCAGAGTATTTTGATTCTCAATATCAAATGTTGCAAAATATCAAACCAATTATTGTTGGACATTTTGATGTTATAAGGATTTATAGGCCTAATTTTATTTTTAGTGATTTAATTTGGAAAAAGGTTGAGAGAAACATAGATTATGTTGTTAATTATGGTGGTTTATTTGAAATTAATTCTGCCGGATTTAAAGTTGGTTTACCTGATGCTTATCCACAAAGAGATATTTTACAAGTAAGTTAATTTGATATTATTTACTTATAAATTATTTTATCAAACATATGAAATTTTTTAAACTGGCTTTTTCTTTTCTTTTATCAAAGTTGATTTTAAAAAAAGGAGGTAAATGTACAATTTCAGATGATAGCCATGGTGTATTAAGAGTTGCAATGCATTATGATAGGCTGTACAATTATCTTAAAGAAATGAATATAAATGTATTGTACTATTTAGATTATAATATAGAAGATAATATCGAACATAAAAAGGTTATTGTAAAAGAAATGAAAAATGTATTAGACCATCCTTTTTGGGACCAATTTAATTCTTCATAATATTTGACGCGTAAATTGTATAAAATTAATTTCAACCAAAACATATGTATAATCTGTATATCAATATATAATTTAGCCAGATTTTAATTTATAATAATAAACGCGTATCATCTAGATCTAGAATTTAGATGAAATTTCTCACACTTTACAACTTTCTTCTTATTAAGATAACGATCCATTTAAAATTTTTAAAAATTATAAGAAAAGATGACTCCAATTATTGAAGAAACCAAGAAACCTCAAAGTATGCCAACTGGTCCTCGAAATGTATTACGTTCCAATGACTCGGCAAGCCTTTGGAATTGTACACTTTCTCCAGGTAAACTTGAAAAATTTCATAAACTATATTACATACATACATACATAAACTTAGTAATATTTATTACTTAATAGGTTGGTCCCGAGAGGAATGCGACATCTTACGGAAAGCTCTTATGAAATATGGAATTGGAAATTGGGCACAAATTATTGCGTCGAATTGTCTACCCGGGAAAACCAATGCCCAAATGAATCTGCAGTTACAAAGAATGTTGGGGCAGCAAAGTACTGCAGGTAAAAATAATATTTATTTTCGTTGACTGAATTTTCTTTCATTGTAATGCATTTTAAGAATTCTATATAATCCAAGAATTTGCCGGTTTGCATGTCGACCCATTGGTTATTGGAGAAAAGAACTCGAAAATCCAAGGACCAAATATAAAACGCAAAAACAATTGCATTGTTAATACTGGAAGTAAGTTCCGTGAAATTTAGGAATTTTTAAATTTTTAAATGTTATAAATGGGTTCAATATATATATATATTTATTTATAGGTAGACCGTCACGCGAAGAAATCAAGCGCAGAATTCAGAAAAATAAGGAATTGTAAGTAAATCATACTTTTTTTGAAGTTATTAGTTATATTTCTAATCTGTCAATTATTGCCTCCCAGATACGAGATCCCGGAAGAGGAATGGAGCAATATAGTTTTGCCAAAACCGGAAGATGTAGGTATTACCAGTAATTTTTATAGGCATTTAAATTTTCAAATGTAATAATTCATCGACTTCTTAACCAACAATTATGAATATAGCCACAGACAGGTAAGAATATTTAGTGAATTAATAAAAGAAACTAACGAATACTGAATAACGTATTTTCTACAGCTTTAAATGCGAAATACGAAGAACTACGTCGTTTGCAAGACGAACTTGCAAATGTACAAGCACAAATAACTGAAATACGGAATAAAAAACGCGAAAAGGTTTTTGTTTTAAAAATATATATATATATATATGTATATAATTTTTGAGTTTAATTAATGTATGTATATATTAAAGCTTTTCTTATTGATAGGATCAAGAAATAACAAACGAGTCAAATGAGTCAAATGGGTCAAACGAGCCAAATAAGTCAAATGGGTCAAACGAACCAAATGGGTCAAATGAGTCAAATGAGCCATCAATTGCAAAAGAAGAGATCAACTCTGACAATACAAAGCAAAGGAGGTCGACACGTAAGATTAAAAAGACAAGGAGTTCGTAGACAGTCGAGAGATGATCTTGATTTTTCCACGCACTATAGATTTTATATTCTTAGAACAAAAGTGTATTATAATTTTCATTTTTTTTCTTTTTGTATGTACTTTTTCTTTTCTTGGTCAGAAAATTTCTCTAAACTATATCTTAACATCACCCTCGGCATTTTAGTTGCATGCATGTCCAGAAAATTAACAAGAGTTTTCTTAGATTTCTATAGAAAAGAATTATTTCTAAATATTATAGAAAAAAAGATTCAAAATTATTTCATTTAGACTTACCTTGCCCATTTCCCTTAACATCCACCCAGTAGCCTTGTGAATTAGATCTTCCTTGTCATCTAACAAAATTTCGGACAGTTTTACTGTATCTTCATATTCACCCCGGTTAATAAAGAGCTGGGTCGATACGATAGCGATCCTCCTATCCCAAAGACGCTCCGAGGTTATCAATTTTTCGTAAAGCCACGTTTTTTTAAGTTCAGGCTTATTTATAAGATAAGAACCAACTACATGAGCTGCTGACATATCAACCAAATCCCAGTTATCAATTCCCTCTTTCATCTCAGTAGTATAAAATTCGAATAACTCTTTTTGCTCATTTAAATCTTGAGATATTTTAAATTTGTCAACTATATTAATGACCGATAATAACCTTTCCTCGTGATACTTCGATTCTATAAGACTTTTCAGTATCGTAAAGGGCAAAAAACCAAGACTTTTCGAAATTGATCTAACATAAGGAACTTTAAGTCCTAAAAAAATGTCTCCACGACCATACTCATCAGTTCGAAAGTATTTTACAAGCGTTGCAGCTCTTTTTTTTGATGCCTGAGCAGCGAGTTGTTCATGAATGCTGGAGAGTGTTGGATTAATTTTTATTACAGTTGATTCGGACTTTAGGGTTACTTTATTATCAATAATAGTTTTTGTTTTACGACGTTTTGTAGGTTGCGTTGATGTTTCAGTTGAAATACGTTTTGATCCTACTTTTTCTACGTTTCTTGCTTTTTGTTTACTACGCGTTTCCACCATATTGTATCTTTTTTGTTAATATATGAATTTTTTTTAGTCAGAACATGTTTTTTTGTACATTCATTTTATTTATTTTCATAATCCCAATTTAGAAAGATGATTAGTGCGAGATAATCTAGTCCGCAGTAAGCATTTACTCTCTTTTTTTAAAAATTTTTAACCATAGAAGAATGACATTACAAGAAAAACCGGAAATATTTACTCACATAAAAAAAAAATTATCATTCGGGTAAATTGTATATTATTATCTGTAATTATTAAAATTTTTTGCTAAAATACTTTCCAATTTGTATAGTACGTATGCCGTTAAGTGGATACCTTTTTCAGCAAAGTTCGTAGTTTTAGGGCAACACCCTAGAGGGACCGGTTTGTTTCAAGTTTATGAACTTAATGAGCAAGAATTAATGTTGATTAAAGAGGTAATAACGAGATCTTGATTTTTCTAATGTTTTCTAACAAGCTAGAACCTGTCCGCGTTTATAATATTATAATCATTTTTAAATTGATATATATATTTTTTTTATGTAATAGCGTGAAACTGGGGGCGCGTTAAAGTGTGGAACATTTGGTGCATCGAGTCTTAATGCTCGTCATTTAGCAACTGGGGATTTTGATGGACGTCTCGCTCTTTGGTAAAAAAATATTATCATTTTTATTTGAATTCTATACTTTAATGAAATTATAATTTAAATCAAAAAATTTTTATTATCTAGGGATCTTGAATATACTGAAGCACCGGTGTTTTCCATCAAAGCTCATTCAAGTATCATTAACGATATTGACGGATGTGGTGGATCCATCACATCTTCGCACGGACCACCAGAATTAGCAACTGCAAGTAGAGACGGTAAGTTATTATTTTATAGTGTATCTTTTTGAAATTCTTAAATGCAATTGACGCGTTTTGCTAAATTTGAATTCAGTTTAGGAACCGTTAAAATATGGGATATCAGGCAGAAAAATCAACCTGTTATTAAAATTGATTCAATGGAAGAAGCCAAGGGATCCAGGGATACTTGGTGCGTTGCATTCGGTATGTTTTTTTTACATTTTTTTTATTATTATTACTTATTTTTATATAATTGATATAAATAAACAATTTGACGTGATATTATAGGAAACGCGTGGAATAACAAAGAGCGAGTATTAGCAGCTGGTTATGATAGTGGTGAAATAAAATTATTTGATTTAAAAGCAATGTCAACTTTATCAGAATTGACAATCTCTTCTGGGGTACGATTCTCAAATTAATTGAACTTTTTTTTTATCAATCATTAACAAGATATTTGATTTAGGTTGTTTCTCTAGAATTTGATCGTCAATATACAAAACTCAACAGATTAACTGTAGGTTCCCTTAAAACTTTAGAAGTATTTGAAATCAATGAAGAGGACAAATTAAAATCATTAGCCACGGGAAAACATGTAAGTAAAGAATCATTTTTTTTTTAAAGAAAATATTACAAAATTAATTTAGGTTAATAATATAGGAAGATGACACAACAAATTGGTGTGTACGTCATGTTCCCCAATCTCCAAATTTGTTCATGGCATCAACTAGTTCTGGGGCCGTTAACTTATATCAAATTAAAAATAAGTCATTAAAATTGATGACTAGTGCCACTGTAACCGAACAACCTGTGGCTTCTGTTGACTGGCATATAAATAAATCCGGTTTAACTGTTTTTACATCATTTGATGGGACAATCGGTGTGAATATTGTTACTAATATTTGAGTAAGGGATACATTTATATTTTTGGAATTTGAATATCTAATTTTAATTCTTTTCTATAAAAGAAAAATAATATAGTTATACTTTTTTTATCTCAATCAAACTTTTTTTTTTTCTTTTTTCACTTTTACTCTCGCTCACCATATTTTCTCCATATCAGGTCATCGGTGTTCAGATCTTTGCATNTTTTTTTTTTTTTTTTTTAATAATTTTATTTTTATTTTAATATTATTTTTATAACTATCGTTAATAATATTTGAAACACTTTTTTACTAATAATGTTCTAAATTTGAAACATGATTATCGAAAGATTACATATGATTTTTTTATAAAATAAGTTATGTCATAGTTGATGGTTACGTAACACAAAAATGAGCGGATATTGTTTTATGGCTTGGACTTATAGGAAAATCGGGACAAGTTTTTTAGGGTTTAACCCTTTTTACTATTTAGATGTCATTAAAAATTTAACGAAAAAAAAAAAAAGAAAAAAAAAATCAAACATCAAACAAGTATGATACAAAGGGGAAAATTTAATAACCAATTTATTTGTACAGAATTTAAGAATTAATTAAAATACTTAAAAATATCTTCGCGATTTCAAAAAGAAGATAAAGAAAACGGCAAAGATCCAGTTGAAAATAGTTTATTTATAATATTGTAATTTTGATTATGTGGGATAAAACTGGAAATTAATAGTATCAGATCATGCCGAGACTTTTGTGGCGCATTTGAAAATCAATACTTTTTTTTGAACAGAATGTTTATTTTAAATAGGTGAGGATCAAATAAAGATCCATAAATAAAGTAAACAGGTTTTTTTCTATTTATATAAGGTTCATGCCGAGTGGATAGATCGCAATCGCAATGACCGCTTCAAAAAAAAATTTCCATACATGGATAGTTTACTTCGCCTTAACAAGCTTTTAATAAATCAAGTTTCTAATTTATTTTTACTGCTAAACTAAAAATGGGGGCTGATCGGTTTGATCATATTTCCAAATTGTGCACTTTAATTTTTTTTTAGGATATTAATTAATTCAAAATTCCATGGTTAATATTTATTTGCATGATCAAATTTCACATAGAATAAAAGATTAACCGCCTTGAAATTAATGTTAAATGTTAAATTCAAGTTATTGTTCGAGAAATTTTTCGTATCACACATTCTACTTTTATATTCGTGGCCTTTTTCTTCTCTTTTTACTCCCCAATATTTTTAATTAATCTTTTAATTAATCTTGTGAAATTTAGTTTCATAAAGACTGTGCTGTAACTTTCGCTTTTATTAATAGAAAAAAAAAAATTTTTTTTTTCTATTTTTTTCTATATTTAAGGGAAAAAAAAATAAATTAATCCGTGCATAATATTAATAAGATAAATTTCGGCCTTTTACTCGTTACTTTATATGTACGATTAATAGGTTGTGTAATATAATCAAGTAATCATATAATATATTCGTGTACACAAGGAAATTAATTTCGAACCCACTTAAAGAAAAAATTCAGCCGCAAGATATAGCTAAAAATAACTATAATATTTGTTTTATGCGCATATAACTGTTTGTTGAACCTTACCCTTAATAAGTATTTCTGCTTGATATACATTGCCATAATACACAAATTTCGAAGTAATATTTTAATTGCATATTTTAGATACTAATAATAATCCTTCTACAAACCATTCCCCCCCTTTACCCCTTCTTTTCCTCTTCCCTTCTTTTTTTTACAAAAGTTGACGCTTTTATTTTGTTCAGAGGAAGGAAAAAAAGGATTTTATTTCATTATATTTTATATTTAAAATTTAAAAAAAATTAATTAATTAATTATAAAAATAATAATAATAATAAAAAAAAAAATATTTATTTGAACACTTTAAAACCCAATCATAATGGGTAAAAAAAAGAATACCTCTTCTTCGGTAGAGGAAAAAACAGACCTTTCAGCAATACAAAATATATCTCAAGATACAATATCTTCAACGCTTCGCGAACGTTTTCAAAGAGACAACATTTATACTCGCATAAACCATTCCGCACTCATAGCAATAAATCCATACAAAACCCTTCACATCTTCAGTGATTCAACTGTTCAAGAATATGTTGCAGACTACAAAGACACTTCAGGTCAAAGAGCTACTTTACCTCCTCATTCCTTTCAACTTGCTTCACAGGCTTATTTACATATGAGACGTACTGGACAAGATCAGTCCATCATCTTAAGGTAAGTTTATTCTCTCAAAAAAAAAGTGCCCCAAATTTTTTTTCTTAAAAAAAAAGTTACTTATTTTAATTTTATTTATTAAATTTTTAAATAATAATAGTGGAGAATCAGGTAGTGGAAAATCAGAAACTCGAAAACTTTTGGTTAAACAATTAATTGCTTTAAGTTCACATAACAAGAGCAACAAAAAAGAATCTAGAGTTCAAACTCAAATCCCATTTTCAGAAATTATTTTAGAATCTTTTGGTAATGCAAAAACAATATCTAATAATAATGCTTCCCGCTTCGGTAAATATACCGAACTTCAATTTAATGAACGTGGTAGATTAATTGGAGCTAAGACGCTTGATTATCTTTTGGAAAAAAGTCGTCTTGTTAAAGTTCCCCCAAATGAACGAAATTTTCATATATTTTATTATTTGATCGCTGGAACTTCACAAGAAGAGAGAACGCATCTTCATCTTACTGACGCTACACAATATCGTTATCTTAATATTCCTAAAGGAACTAGAGCCAATTTAGATGATACAAACAATTTTAATGAATTGAAACAAGCTTTAAAGTCTTTAGGATTTCATAAGAAACATGTTGCACAAATGTTTCAACTTTTAGCTGCCATTTTACATTTGGGTAATATACAGTTCACTCAAGATCCTAATAATAATAAACAAAGGGAAGCAGCTTTAATAAAAAATCAAGAAGTTTTAGATTTAGTTGCGGACTTTTTAGGAGTGGATCCTAAAGCTCTTGAGAATGTACTTACATATAAAACCAAATTAATTAAAAAAGAAATGTGTACAATATTCTTGGACGCGGATTCTGCTTCGGTTCAACGTGATGATTTGGCAAAAGCACTCTATTCTTTATTATTTAGTTGGATTGTAGAATATATTAACACAAAACTTTGTAACGAGGATTTTGCCAGTTTCGTTGGTCTTCTTGATCTTACTGGATTTCAAAATTTAACATCAAATTCACTTGATCAATTTTGTGTAAATTTTGCAAATGAAAAGATTCACAATTTTATTTTAAAACATATTTTCGATTCACGTCAAGAAGAGTATACAAGTGAAGGAATTAACGTTCCTGATATAGCTTATTTTGATAATTCAGCATGTCTTCAAATGATTTCTCATCCATCATCAGGATTAATCGCAATTATGAATGATCAAGCCAACAAATCTTCTCGTAAAACTGATCATACCATGTTAGATGCTTTCAATAAGAAATATTCAGAACATAGTTCTTTTACACCTACTGGTAAAAGTTTGAATGCTCTTCCTACTTTTGGTATTCAACATTACGCTGGACAAGTTACTTACGACGTCACAGGATTTCTTGAGAAGAATACTGATACTCTTAGTGCTGATTTTGTTTCTCTATTCCGTGGTGCTGAAGAATCATATAATAGTTTTATTGTTGGTTTGTTCACTGATAAGGCTGTTGCTACAGAATCTCATCCTCGAAATGATAATACTATTGTTGCAGCTCAACAATCTGTCAAACCTATGCGTGCTCCATCAATGCGCCGTAAAAAGGGTCAAGAAACTAAGGGACAAGAAACTCCTGAAATCTCTTCAAAACCTAAAGTTTCTTGTGTTGCAACTCAAATTTCATCAGCTTTAGATGAACTTTGTGATACACTTGAAGAGACTACTCCTTGGTATGTTTTTTGTATACGTCCAAATGACACACAGCTCCCTAACCAATTTGATCCAAAAGTTGTACAATCTCAAGTAAAATCATTTGGATTAACGGAAATTGCAAAGAAATTACAGTTTGATTATACTATCTCTTTTACACATGAAGAATTTTTAGAGAGATATGAACCTATTTTGGATTCAATGGGACTTGATCAATCAAGGGATCCTAAAGCTAAATGTGAAGCTTCTTGTACTATTTTTGGTTGGTCAATTTCTGATATGGCTGTTGGTCAAAATAAGGTTAGTTGATTTAGAAAAAGTTATTTTTATATTTTATCTATACCATAAACGTATTATCTAATTTAACCAAATTTTAACAGACATATTTAAGTGAAACTGCATGGCGAAACTTGGAAGATAATCTTCGTAATATAGATAATGAAGAAAAACGTAAAAAGAAAGATAAAAAAGCAGTTACAAGTACAGCAGATGTATCATCTCAACAGTCTTACCCTTCAAATAAAGAATTAGATGTTCCTCGCCCTCTTTATTCAAGAGGATTTGATCAAAGATCTTTTGTTTCTGGTGATGATAATCGCTCAAACTTTTCTGATGATGAATACTATCAAGATGAAGCACTTAGTCAATACGATGATAATGTATCTTCCTATGGTTCAGATGTATACGCGCCTTCACATAATATGTTCAAAGAAATGGAAGCAAAGAAAATGTTAAATGAAGAAGACAACGCATTGGAAGAAGCTGAAGAACCTCGCAAAACTACAGCTGCTCGTAAGAAGTGGGTATTTCTTACTTGGTTCCTTACGTGGTGGGTTCCCCCTTGCTTCTTACGTTGGTGTGGTGGTATGAAAAGAAAAGACATTCAAATGGCATGGCGTGAAAAAGTTGCACTTTGCATAGTTATTTCTCTTATTTCTGCTTTTGTCATATTTATTCTCGCTGGATTGGGTAGAATTATTTGTCCAAAAGTTTTTATTTTCACGGCAGAAGAATTATCAACACATAATGTTAAAGACAATCCTGATAGTACTTATGTAGCAATTCGTGGAGAAGTTTTTATTTTGAGTACATTTGCCCCTCGTCATTACCCACCTAATTTAGTATCTACAGATTCAATTTTGTCATATGGCGGTTCTGATGCATCTAGTTTGTTTCCGGTTCAAGTTAGTGCTCTTTGCAACGGAATTGATGGAAATGTAGATCCTTCTGTAACATTCGATTTCACTGGCAATGCTACTCAGGATGAAAATGCTAAATATCACGATTTCCGTTATTCTACCAATGATTATCGTCCAGACTGGTATTTTACAGAAATTTTAAAGAAAATGAGATCAATTTATCTTGTAGGTCAAATGGCAATACCACCACATATAGTCAAAGAAATGGCAATTAGAGATCAAGACAAAAGGCAAATTGCTATCATCAATGATAATATTTATGATATAACACCTTATGTAACTGGTGGTCGTCGAGCTATAGATCAAAATGGTCAAAATGTGCCAGGTGTTAATGTAGATTTTTTGCTTCCTGATATTGTTGGCCTTTTCACAAATTTTAATGGACTTGATATATCAAAAAGCTTTAATAGTTTAAAAATTGATCCTGATACTAGAAAACGTCAAGAAGTTTGCTTGAAAAACTTATTTTATGTTGGGAAAGTAGATCATCGTAACTCACCACAATGCTTATTTGCAAATTATATTTTACTCGTATTTTCAGGTATATTGGTTGCTGTTATTGCCTTCAAATTTTTGGCAGCTCTCCAATTAGGCGCAAAACGAGAACCGGAAGAACATGATAAATTTGTTATATGTCAAGTTCCCTGTTATACTGAAGGTGATGAATCTATGCGTAAAACTTTAGATTCTTTGGCCATATTAAGATATGACGATAAACGCAAACTTTTATTTATTGTTTGTGATGGTATGATTGTCGGTAGCGGTAATGATAGACCAACACCTCGTATTGTATTAGATATTTTGGGAGTTGATCCAAATTTAGATCCTGAACCTCTTAGTTTTCTATCTCTTGGTGAAGGTTTAAAACAACATAATATGGGCAAAGTATATTCTGGATTATATGAATGTAATGGACATGTTGTTCCCTATTTAGTAGTAGTCAAAGTTGGTAAACCAAGCGAAAGATCTCGACCTGGTAATCGTGGTAAACGTGATTCTCAGATGGTTCTGATGAGATTTTTAAACAAGGTCCACTTCAATTGTGAAATGACTCCATTAGAATTAGAAATGTATCATCAAATCAAGAATGTTATCGGGGTTAATCCAAGTTTTTACGAATATATTCTTATGGTTGACGCTGACACAGAAGTAATGCCAGACTCATTGAATCGCCTCGTTTCCGCTTTTATGCATGATACTAAAGTAATGGGTCTTTGTGGTGAAACAACTCTCGCTAATGAAAAAGATTCTTGGGTTACTATGATTCAAGTATATGAATATTACATATCTCATCATCTTGCAAAAGCTTTTGAATCACTCTTCGGAAGTGTTACTTGTTTGCCTGGTTGTTTCTGTATGTATAGAGTCCGTACACCCGATTCTCATAAGCCTTTATTGATTGCCAACCAAGTTATTGAAGATTACTCCGAAAATATTGTTGACACTCTTCATAAAAAGAATTTACTCCATCTTGGTGAAGATCGTTATTTAACAACTCTTATGATGAAACACTTTCCAAATTATAAAATGTCATTTGTTCCCGACGCGCAATGTAAAACTTATGCTCCTGACCAATGGGCTGTACTTCTCTCACAACGTCGTCGATGGATTAACTCTACCGTGCACAATCTTATGGAATTGGTCTTTTTGCCTCAACTTTGTGGTTTCTGTTGTTTCTCTATGCGTTTTGTGGTCATGATTGATTTGTTTGCCACTCTTATTATGCCTGCGACTGTTGCATATCTTGGATTTTTAATATACACAATTGTTAAAGATCCAACGACAATTCCAATTACATCTCTAATGTTGTTAGCTGCCGTATATGGTCTTCAAGCTATTATATTTATTCTCCGCCGGAAGTGGGAACATGTTGGTTGGATGATTGTTTATATACTTGCCATGCCTGTTTTCTCGTTCTACTTACCTCTTTATGCATTTTGGCATTTTGATGACTTTTCATGGGGTAATACACGCTTGGTTGTAGGTGAGAAGGGCAAAAAATTTGTAGTGGCGGATGAAGGAAAATTTGATCCAAAAAGCATACCTAAAAAGAAATGGTCAGATTATGAACAAGAACTTTGGGAAGTCGGTACACAAGGATCACAAGAATCGGCCCATTCAAGAGCTTCAGATCGTTCATACCGAAGTGGTCGATCCGCTAAAAAAGCTGGTTCTGCCGCTGGATCTGTTGCTGGCGATTATTATGAAGAGCGTAGTAAGAGAAGTCGTTCTCGGTCACCCGCACCTCCATATGATGATCCAAACAGACCTTATGCTCGCTCTAACTTTGGTGGTGCTGAGATGAGCCAAAGAGGATCAGTGTATGGTATTGGACGTGGCGAATATGATGTTTATGGTGCTGGATCAAGACCCGTTAGTTTAATAGAAGGTGGACATGCAGACAGTGACTTCCCCTCAGATGAAGAGATTCTTCAAGGAATTCGAAATATATTATCAACAGCTAATTTAATGTCAATTACAAAGAAGCAAGTTCGCGATGATTTATCTCAATCCTTTGGCATGGACATGAGTGCAAAGAAAGAATATATTAACAATTGTATAGAATTGATCCTCCAAGGAAAACTTTAAAATCATTTAATATTACTTTTTTAATTTTACTTAATAACATTTAGAAATATACATATATTCAAAATACAGTAATCATTTACTATCTATTTACGATAAATTTTACCCTAAAAAAAAACTCTTAAAATAATTATTTTAGTATATTTCCTACTGGTCAATTTAATGAAAGATGTATTTTTTTATTATGTAGTCTAATTTGTAGAAAAATTAGTTTGAAATGATTCAATTACGAATATTTAATTGGGAAATCTTGTATTTTACTTTAAAAAGTTTTTTTTTTATCTTTATTTTTGATTAGGACTTTGGATTTTAATTTTTGAGGAAATTTTCTTTTATTAAAAAATTTAGGTTGTGAAATAATATAATTGAGGGCGTTTATTAGAATTTTTTTGTATCTTTTTTTTTATTAATTATAAAAAATCTATTATTATGATTATATTGATCATATTAATTAACTTATTTAAAAATAATGCTTTTTACATTTATTATTATAATTTGAATTGATTTGTTTATTACATATCAAATGGTTAAACATTTATTATGTTGTTCAAATAAAATCTAATAAACTAATCAAAGGTTAGAAACACATGTTAAGCAAACTCTAATTTATTTATATACGGTAACGACGCAAAAATATGAATCTTGACCCGTCACATGGATTAATCTTGACCCACTGCATGCACATTGTCGATCACATATATTTTACAATACACCATGAATAGGATCGACAACGTGCATGCAGGTGGGTCAAGTTTCACGTACGTGACGCAAAAGTATCGGACTTGACCCTCCTCGTGGTGCTAAGTTGACCCGGTCAATTATGCATGTTTATGCATAACAAAAAATTGTATTTCTTGACCCGAAATGTGATAATCGATAATGTGATAAATTTAAAATGCTCAATTTCTTTTTTTTTTGTAACACAAGATTTTTTAATCTTTTTTATTACAGTAACGCGAAACTTTCTTTTTTTTCTTTATTACGCGAAACTTCCTTTTTATTTTTTGTTACATGAAACTTTATTTCTTATCTCGTTTATGACTCAAAACTTTATTTTTTTTTTATCTTTTTGTGACGCAAAACTTTATCTTTTATTAAAACTTTATTTTTATCATTTTTGTAACGCGAAACTCTATTTTTTTCTCTTTTTTCCTAGAAATTATCTAAATATGAATGATGATTTAATAAAATATAATGATGATGAAACTGTTAATGTACCCTTTGGGCGTGTCGCTGAATGGTACATTTCCAAACATCCTTTACTAAAAAATATCAAATTAAAATGCCAAAGTAGAAAAAAAACTCCAGAACTTATTAAAGAAAATATTATAACTGTTGATCGTGTTGAGGGAGCTGTAGATTATATTGAATGGAGAACCAATAAAGGAGAAACTAAATCTACTAATAGAATAGATGACATTGTACATCTAACACCTATGGGAGAAGAGTATGTTAAAGAGATTGAAGCTGGTAAAAGAAAGGACAGGTTATGTTGGTCCTGGACTATGTATTGTGCTGGGGGGAATAGCTGTCAGAGGGAATGCGGAAATATTGGTAGTTGTAAAGAGAATTGTGCAAATCGTAATTTTCCAAATAATATTAAAAACAGTCATGATATGCATCTTTGCAAAGTGCGTGTTATATCAGAATCTAAATTATCATGGTTAAAAACAAGCAAACCACTACGTATTAAAATAATTGGATCTCATTTACCAGCAAATGCATTAAATACTCATATTCCTAATAGTTCCAAACTGAACCTTACAAGAGAAATACGGGATAAAATTATTTTAAATAGAAGATCCGATTATAAAACAGTAAAAGAAATTAAAATGACATTACTTGCACCTTATAATGGTGCAAATGAAGAAACATTACGAAATGTGTTAAATGAACAACGTGAAATTTGTAATGATACTAAATTACGGGGATTTATTAAAAGAGATGATAGACGACTAAAAGAAAATTCCGGAAGCTGGACAATTTTACACTATTTAGTTACGGAAATTCTTAAATTAAAGGGTTATGTACTTTATTACCAGCAGCCGGATCCATTAGCACCGGAAGATCATCCAGATCACTATTATCAATTGACTTTATCAAATGATTTATGGTTAAAAAATGGTCAAAAATTTGGAAATTTTTGCATAGGATTGGATGGTAAATATGATCTAAATAATGATCATGCTCCAATCTTAACAATGATAGTTGAAAATAATACAGGGTGTGCTACACCATTGGCTTTTGGTTAGTATATCTGTATATCATTATTTTTTTTATATCAACAAAAAAAAGTATTAAAATTTATTATAGGTTTAAGCAACAAAGAAAATAATTGGACTATTCGATTAGCTATTCAAGCAATCAAGCAAAATATTCCCTGTAGTCGTAGTGAATGTAACCATGAATGGTATTACCAAGATTTACCATCCGGAAAGGGGTTTGAAAGGATTAGTAATTGTGCAAATATACAATTATGGAATCCACTAGCCATGATTGACAAACATCGTCCATCGAGAATTGATATACAAAGTTTATTACGTGGATCGATACTTTGTTGGTTCCACATAATGAAAACAATTGGAGAAAATTTTTCGCAATGGAATATTCCTTGAAAAATAAGAAAATTTAAATTTAATAAAAAATTTTTTTTTTTAATAATAAAATTATATAATTTTTATTTAAAATAATTTAGTTATCCATTAGCAATAGCGTTCAAGATTGTAGGAAGAAGTAGAAGTGTCAAACAATGTGAAGAATTAGCTATTGAATACAAGAAATTCATGGATTTGGCTAATAATGTAAAACAAAAAATTATAAATGATATTTATAATAATTGGATTAGTGATGAGTGGATACTTGGTTTTATCGATGCTGGAAGACTTCCTCAAACTTTACAGGATAATCCAATGACAACTAATAACTTCACAGAGAGGATGAATCGATCAATTGAGACAAATCATAGCGGAATTAAAACTGTTGTAAATTTTGTTGAAAGATTATATGGACTAAAATTAAATAGAGAAAATATTACTGAAAGGTCTGGAGAAACAAATTTTGAAGCTGGTTTAAGTACTTTATTTGATGCTCAATCTATCGAGCAAGTAAGTAAATTATAATTAATTTTAAATTTATTAATTAGCATTTATTTAATTTGACACTATCAATACTATCATACAAGGAAAACCAATCAAAACATATTTCTTCAGACAAGTTAAGACGACTTAATTTGGGTAGACTCTATTTCTTGATGGGATACGTAAAATCATCAAATAACAACAATTATTTTTATGTAAAAAAACATAATCAATTAAATGTATTAGAATCATCATACGATGGAAGTTTTGTGAAAATGGATGATAATATTATTGAAAAGTTGTATCCACTTTATCAAAAATTTGCAAAGAATCATTATAGTGTAGTTCCTGAACTAGAAGGATATTATTTAACAAATATTTTTAGCGGAGAATGTTTAATATGCCTAGATTATATTTGGAATGGGTCTTTTCGGGATGTGTGTAAGCACTGTCATGCAGCAAGAATATATAAAGAATCATTAAATGCAGAGAATCTTTTTGATTATTCGCAAGAAGTTAAAAATCAATTGGTGACATATTTTAAGAATAAGGAACGCGTTATTTCTGCAGAAAATAAAAACAAGTTAATTTATGAAGGAGATACTCATGTGGCTTATAATGAAATTTTAAGATTATTTGAACTTCAAGGTATATTTATTCATTTCTTTTCATGATATTTTATTTATATTTAAATATAAATTAATTATTATAAAAAATTTATAGGCACCAAGATCTTTTGGCCAGATAATAAACCATTGAAATTAAATAGAGATCCTTTTCGTCCAGAATTAAACAATAAGCGTGATTTTAATGCTATTGGAGCTCCGCCGAAACCTTCTGCTAAACCGCGCAAACCATCACGAATTTTATGTAATTCTATTTTAGAAGAAGATAAGGAAAATAAGGAAACCTTTTCAACTCAGCAAAGAAAAACAAAACGAACTAGAAGACAAATTCGTACATATAAGGTAATCATTATTTTTTAAATTATAAAAACCAATCTACTGTTTCACTAATATCTTAATTGCAGGAAAATACTAAGGATAACGGAAATAACAAGAATAATGAAAATAATTTGGGACCATCCGTACCTGATGTTAATTTACCTGCTTCGTATAACATCAAATTTGATTTGAATCCATCTTTTAATTCACAACCAACTCTTCAACCTACTCTTTATAATATTCCTTATTATACAAACACCAATACTTCGCTCCCTACTTCAATTTATTCACAATCTACATTCTCTTCAACTAATGCGATTCCTAATAGTAATTATACCTCTTTCAATATTCCTCAAGATCAATTGGCCTATAGTTATCCTTCGATTCCAAATGATCTTGGTCAATTTTCCTACAATAATCAAATTGAGTTATCCAATTCTTATTCTTATTCATTTAATCAAGCTCCTGATAACAACTTTTCTGATAACAACACGTTTTCTCAAAAGCACTTTTAGTAATCTTGTAACTTACTTTTACTCATCATTTAATGAAATAAATCTATTTCTTATTTTTCGAAGCCTTTAATTTTATATTTTGCGTTCCTAACATAGTGGAATTTACAAAAACGTTGCATTCTTGCCCAAAAGAATATAAAGTTTTCGTTATAAATGTAAAAAAAAAGTATATAATTATACGTTTCGTTGTAAATGTTGTATTCTGTACTTAAAAAATTGTATAAATAGCCTTTCATTATAAAAAGCCTAAGCATAATTTTAAATACTTTCATGCCAAAAATGTCAAAATTGTGAAATTAAAATTTGTTAAAAGTTTGTTCAAGTAAACGTTTAATTAATTTATTTTTTGATTTATCACATTATCGATTATCACATTTCGGGTCAAGAAATACAATTTTTTG